TGTACTGTTTCTTATTTGTCTTACATTGGGTAAGACGATGTGAAACAATCTTGGAAATATAATTGGACAGTCCCTATCCTTAATCCAGGATCTGTTTCAGAGGTTTTGTGAGGACAGACTTCCAAACATTGTCAAAAACTTTAAGCAGTTGTCATCAAGCAAATAACACCACATCATCAAATGCTGACAGCCTGACTGTCCCCCAGTTTTCTGCCTTCGTCAGTTTGAGATTTCATCACTGTGTAGTTTCTGTTGTCCAGCTAGTTAATGATTTTTGAGTGTTTATGTCACAGGTGTACTGCCCACAAAGGGTCGCCAACTGGTGTTGCTCATGAGGTTTGTATTTAGTCAAGCAAATGGGTCCAATACAGGAAGTCCATTGGAAGCTAATTCAACTCCAGACGGCCCCGATACACACTGTTTAATGTGTAAGGAGCGCAATAAAGATGATGAAGATTGACAACCCAAAGTCTGGTACCTCCTCATGTAGGAATAACATTCAGTCCAACTTTATTCTGTTTCACTTAAAAAAAGAAAGAAAAAACAGCAGGAAATGCAAAGTGCTGTGCTCAGTCACAAGCTAACTGCTAGCAATGCGGGCTAATGACAGGCTTTGTTGCGTTTCATGTATTTAACCCTAAACAAACAAATCACAATCAAAAGTTTTACAGTACTGAGTGAAATACCGAGAGAGATACAACCATCATTTCCACTTGAAAGATGTTAAACATGGGAGGATGAGAACTTTCTTAATTCTGCATGCTATTAAGAATTTCCAATTAGAGATGTTGCTTGTCCAGATTATTCAAATTATTGTCCAAAATTAGCATCTTCAGAGCTTGCAGGTAAGATGAGATGCATGCTGGGTTGGCTCGGTAGGCACTGTAAAGTGTTTGCTGTAGAAGTCTTCCTTATTTACCGACTCAATTTGGTCTGCTTTCCCGCTAAGGATGGCTGTGTCAAAATGAAATGGGACTGAGCCAAGCTGCTCTCTGAGCACATCGGCTTACGTGGCTGTTATGAGGAGGCGTGACGGCGCTGAAGTCTACGCCGCAAGCAAGGACAGCTGGGCAGGGATGGGGCGGCCTGCGACGCCTTGATAAGCGCTTATCAAGATGAACGGAGGAGGAGGCCGGGAATTACAAGCAGCGCAGTCGCAGGCCCTCAGGACCCTGCGGCCTCAGCTTGGCCGTGCCGTGTGAGTCGGACTCACAGTGAGAGTGGCACTTGTGCAGCGTGGCCCGTCAGATGTCAGTGTTTCCTGCTTGCACTCCGAAGTGACACTACAGTGTGAAGTACAGGACAGTTGGGGGTGGAGAATGGGGGGAACGCTGTTTGAGCCGGTCGTAACTCGGGTGACGGATGGCGTTGTGTGTCACCACTGGACTTTGATGGCAGCCTTCAAATTCCCAAGAAACGGGCTTCTGTGAAGGCGGTGGTCTTATCTCTTTGGTGCAGGACTGCAGCAGCAGTGCTATACCCAGGAGAGCTCTCTCTCTTTCTCTCTCTCTTTCATACACACACACACACTAACACACACAAACTGTCCTCACCATCACCAAACACTTTCAGAGATGAGCTGCCTGCTCCATGCTGATCTTGGCATGTGAGGTGACGTTTTTAGCAGCAGAGGAGCGTGAAAGTGTTGCTCTGACTAATAAAGTTAGCTTGTCACTTTGCTGTCGTAACTCTTTCCACTCTTGAGTTCATGTAATCTCACTATACACAGATGTGTAAAGGTGAAACTATTACCACTTGTGACTTTTCCCTCCTAAATCTCCATGCTGTTTTGAGTTTTGTTACTGCATGTAACAAAACTCAGGAGTTGAGCAATTTTTTTTTCCTTCTTCTTTTTTGTATAGCACATTTCAGCAGCAAGGCATTTCAAAGTGCTTTACATCATAAACACAAGAACACAAAGTCATGCAACATATATTAGACAATACATTGTTACATATTACATTTCAAAAACAATTCTAAACAGGTGTGTTTTTAGTTGTGATTTAAAGGAAGTCAGGGTTTCTGCTGTTTTACAGTTTTCTGGAAGTTTGTTCCAAATTTTTGGTCCATAGATGCTGAAAGCTGCTTCTCCTCTCTTGGTTCTGGTTCTGGGGATGCAAAGCAGACCAGAACCAGAAGACCTGAGAGGTCTGGAAGGTTGATACAATAACAGCAGATCTTTGATGTCTTGTGGTGCTAAACCGTTCAGTGATTTATAAACTAACAACAGTATTTTAAAATCTATTCTTTGAGCTACAGGGAGCCAGTGGAGGGACTTTAAAACTGGTGTTATGTGCTCTATCTTCCTGGTTCTAGTGAGAACGCGAGCAGCAGCGTTCTGGATCAGCTGCAGCTGTTTGATTGATTTGTTGGACAGGCCTGTGAAGACGCTGTTACAATAATCAATGTGACTAAAGATAAACACATGGATGAGTTTCTCTAGATCTGGCAGAGACATTAGTCCTCTAATCCTGGAAATGTTCTTCAGGTGATAGAAGGCCGACTTTGTAATTGTCTTTATGTGGCTTGCAAGGTTCAAGTCCGAGTCCATCACTACTCCCAGGTTTCAGGCCTTATCACTAGTTTTGTTGTTGATGTTGTTGCACGGATGCTGGTGAAATCTTTTCTTTTTCCTCTTTCCTTGGGGTTATTATAGAGCTGCCTTGCTAAAGTATTTATTCCTATTTAACTTCTAAAAAATGTCTCATTGCAGTCACAAACCTCTTTCTTTGAGATTTTCTGTCATAGAGCAGCATAAAGTCAGATGGGTTCCTACAAATGACAGTGTGAATCTCATGGACCAGTGATACTGTGGTCATTTAGAAGGCCTGGTTTTCCAAATGAGATGATTTCAGTTTTGCTTTCGTTCAGATTAATAACCATATTTGAACATCTGTGAGGCGCATCTCTAAGGGCTGAATAGCAGTGTGGCCAGAATAGATAAATACATTTGGATAGCAAAGCAGTGAAAGGCAGTGTAGATGTTGTGTTAAGAATGGAAAAGAAGTGGAACTAGAATGGATCCTTGGGGAACCCCGAAGTCAAGATGGGACAGGACTGAACTGTGGGTCAGTTAGATGTCCAGAGCTTAGGACACTGTATGAAACCATAAATCTGACTCAAAATATTTTTACTTTTAAAAAAATCTATTTTCATCTGTTATTGCTGCAGTATTTTTAAATTAGCTGGACTCGCTAGCACCGGTTAGCTTCATCTGCTGCATGGTGTTTGGTTGGGAAAATTGCGACAAAGCGAAATGACTGTAAAATCTCGGTTTTGTTGCGGGGATGTATTGTACTGTTGGTGTCAGTAAAATTCAGCTAAAACCCAAAACTACTCTGGTAAAGTATGAAATTCTAAATGCAGCAACATAAAGTGGAGTCAAATACACCAGAGGAAAACACCTGACACGGTCTGCAGTGATGGAGACCTGCTAGCTGAACGGAAGCATCTGCCGCCCCCTGGTGGCGAGTCAAAGTGATTCACTGCCTTTCCGCAGGGAGTTTCTGATGAGGTTCTGTGATGGAGGGTGGGGACATGGTGCATGACGTTCACAAATATATAGAAGCATTATTGTTTTCTAACACATCATTTTTTTACCTTTTAGTAAAAAAAAATGATAATAAAAATAATACACATCTTTGTTTTTGTGAAAAAAAATTTATTTTTAATATAGATTTTCTTTGGGCACAACACAATTATGGATTTTAAAAAAAAATCAAACTTGAAATTCATGTGCGTTTGTTTGTGTTACTAATTATAGTTAACAAATAATTGCATCGTAACCTTCTTTTGCTTCAAACATAAGACCAATAAAATACAAATTTTAATGTTACGTTGCATTGAAAAGGTGTCACTGAAATGAATTTGAACTCAAAAGGTTTTTTGCAAAAGGAGACAGTTTAGAGTGCTGTATCCAAGTTTGCTATGTGGAAAGTTGAGTGGAAGGAAAAACTGAAATAGAAAAAGGTTCACGTGCACTGAGGGACAAATAACTGCAGCGTTGTCTGACGTGTCTTACCCAGGCTAAGGAGGAGAAGGATCGGGTCTCTGTTTGGCGGTCCAAAGTCGTCTTCTCTAGACGATGAGTAAGTTTTGCTTTTCGGAGTCTCCAGTGATGATTTGGGTTGCCCACTTGTGCTGGTTCGCTGGGTTTAATCAAGCTCACTGAGCTCGACTGTCAGAAGTAAGACGAGTGGGAGAGCAGGCTGTCACATCCGACAGGGAACAACACGTTCACATGGATGTGTTTCTTAAAAATCTGCTTTAATATTAAAAATAATCAAATTATCTGAGACCTGTGACCATCAAAATGAAGAGAAACATGTATAAAAATAGTTTTTCCAACCTCTGTTTACTAAATTTGCATTAAAATTAGCTGCATTTCTAACCAAGTTACTGATGTACAAAACATTTCTAATGTTCAAATCTACTCAAGTGGATCTGTGAGGAAAAAAAGCCCACAGTGTCGAAAATTTTGTATTTTCTGCCTTAAAAAAACAACAAACATTTAAAGGTCAAAGGTGAGCCATGATTCAGCCACAGGCGTTTATCAAATGATGCATTCAAAAGCGTAGGCTTTTCCCACAGTAGTCATTTAATAAACGTGCAGAAATCAACACAATAACAATTATGGTAATTGATGAAGTTCATATTGCAGTGGTTCAACGAGGATTACGCTGCTGTTCTTGGGACAGTGTGAATATTATAGTAACATACAAATTATTATTAGTGCTAAGGCTTTGGGTTCATTCCCTAAATATTTTGTTTATAAAAACATGTTATCTTACAATCGATAGTTGACTGAAAGTGTTGCATTTTTATTCTATTTTATTTTTTCTGTATTTTGTATATCATCGTACTGTTTCAAAGTCCGATAAGATATTTTGGGAAAAAAACAAACAATAAAAGGTTTGATGAACGTCGCTCAGGCCTGATCGATGACAGCTAACCAATTGGCGAATGTCCGAGCAGCACCTGAAGGCGTCATCGCGCACGGGAGCTCGAGAGTCAATCTGGTCTCAGGATGGGAGAGGAAAACACCGCCGTCACCCTGAAGACGATCCTCATAGGAAACTCCGGGTAACTTTTGGTCGCTGTTCTCTCGCTGAGACGTTCCGACTCGGTTCGGTTACAGCTCGAATGTTTTGTTGTTACCTGCCGCGACTCTTGAAAGTGAAGGTGTAAAGTAGCTGTGCGGAGTTTGCAGGTATTTGAACAACTTCGTCCACGTTTTGACCGCTTTACACGTCGCGTGACGCACAGGAGGAGTTAAATGGGTCTGGTGACGAAGAAAGGGTTCAGTTTGAGGTTATTTCTAATTTATCCTGTGTGTGTGTGTGTGTGTGTGTGTGTGTGTGTGTGTGTGTGTGTGTGTGTCCGCGCGCGTGTTTACACAGGGTGGGAAAATCGTCCGTCATGAACAGATACGTGGATAACCGCTTCACCAACATGTACAGAGCCACCATAGGGACGGACTTTTTCTCCAAAGCGGTCAGGATAAACGGGAACACCGTGACCCTGCAGGTTGGTGTGTGTGTCACAGTGAAATGCATCAACCTTCATGACTGGCCTGAAGCCTCGTGTTTCCTCTCTCTCTCTCTCTCTCTCTCTCTTAGATCTGGGACACAGCAGGCACAGAGAGGTTCCAGTCTCTGGGCACGCCGCTGTACAGAGGGAGCCACTGCTGCATGCTGGTGTTTGACGTCACGTCCTCGACCAGCTTCAGCGCCTTGGAGATGTGGAGGAAGGAGTTCCTGGTCCAGGGCGAGCCTCAGGATCCGGAGAACTTTCCCTTCGTTGTGCTGGGCAACAAGACGGACCTGGGCAACCGGGAGGTCGGTCTCGACTCGCTTGCAGACTTCCTTCCATTTGTGCATCTGCCGGCAAGTTGAGTGGGATTTTATTCAGGGGTAGCGCATGGAAAGGGGCTCAGTGTTGGAGGCGGCGTATCGATTCAGGCTTTAGGTCGATACTTTAGCTCTTGAAATTTTGAACTGCAGTTTCTCAACTCTATGATAAAATTTCTTTTTGCCTTGATTTACTCTATACATTCTGTCCTGTTTCAGCAAAAGAAATTCCAAGAAAAACAATAAAAGGAAATCTAAGGGCTATAAGTGTTGCTGATAGTGTATTTTCTTAATATCTACTCAATACCAAAACATCCAGTATCACACGCCGCACTTTTCAACATTGCTTTGAAAATACATTTAGAATTTTTGACTCTCCATCATGAAAAAGTTAATCCCTTTTTTGTAGGAACTTTAGAGCATTGAGAGAGGAATCGATCCGAACGCTCTACTCCCAACTTTCCGCGTACCCAGACCAAATACGAAAGACGTATAATAAGCTCTATAATCTCTACCGTATTCCTGATTATGAAACGCTTCATCTGCTGCCTAGGTGTCTCGCAGGAAGGCGATGCAGTGGTGCGAAGAAATCGGGGCGGAGTACTTTGAAGGAAGCGCCAAAGAGGACCTGGACATGGAGAAGCCATTTTTAAAAGCCACAGAGCTCGGCCTCCAGCAGGTAAATAAAAAAACAACAAAAACAGAAGCAGACCCGAGACACAATCTCTGTTTAACATGTTTATTTTTGATGATAAAAGATACATTACTCCCTACAGTACAAAAAACACACATTGGAAAATACAGGACATTTCCAGATAACCTGCGAACAGCCGAGAGAAACTCGCAACACCTGCGAGTGCTGATAAGAGAGCACTCGTCCCGGCGTGGGAAGGAAAGTTTGGAGACCTCGGCACTGCTGATGATGACCTATCTAACAAGGGTGCAAAAATAAGTGACCCGGCAAAGGTACTGTGGAAGGAAAGGACACAATTGTATACCACATGGAGAGAGGAACAAATTATTAAATGTTTTTTTTTTTTTTTTTTTTTTTTTTTTTTTTTTTTTTGGTTTTTTTCTGTTGAGAACCTTCAGCTTTATGGTCTAACTTAAGGCATCACTACTAAAATACACTGCTTTTTTTGCATGCATGTCTAGTTTCGTTTAACAGACACACCGACACGCACAAAAATTATGAATGCATATGAAGAGAAAGTTTCTAAAAAGAAATCAGGAGAAAATCCCAACCTGAAGCCACGGCGGCAAGCGGAGGGGCCTCGGCTTTTTGACGTTCGGGGCCTTTTTTTTTTGTTTATTTTATTTTATTTTTAAATTACCGTCACCAACTGGATCTGCCCTTTTACGCGGAAGATCTCCGCTCACGCCAGATAACTCCTCCCTGTACATGTTTGTACTGATGGACCTAGCAGGATTTCACTCCCTACATTGAGTCAGCGGCAAAAAAAAAAAAAAAATAAAGAAAATTGAAAAATCAGAACAATCAGGGAGACTATATATATTTATATATATATTTGCTTCTTTTATAAGTAAAGACACAAAAGGCGATCAAGTGATGACCCAACATGTAAAAACAGTTTGTTACAGGTAATTATATAAAAGGCCAAGATGTTTGTTTTGTTGGTTTTTTTCTGTGTTTGTGTGTTTTGTTTTTATTCTTGCTCTTATGAACGAACTAATTTACAAGTGAGTAACACTCCGGCTGTAAGCGGCCTTCTCATTCAAAAACAACAAAAAAAAAAACAAGTAGCTTAGCACACCATCTGTGTGGTCTGAAATACGGAGCCTTAGAGAAGGGAAAAAACAAATTAAAATTTATTCAGTTGATTCACAGACATTAATAAAGGTGTCACGGGTTGGAAGGGGGATGGATCTACGGAATACATGTAGCCATTCTACAAAATTAAAGGTTCATGAGCAGAAGAAGCAACAACCGACCGGGCACGAGGAGGAAAAGTCGGGAAAGATGCAACGCCGATTTCACCCCCCCCCACCCCTCCTTTCCAACCCGGGAAAATTTGTGTTTGGCAAACAAAGCAACACAAGCATCAAGAGTAAACAAAGTAAAAAAAAAATAATATTAAAGAAAAAAAATAAAAACTCCTCTCTCTGGGTCCACTTCAAGGTTCCCTTCAGTCCTACAACCTCTGCGGTTCTACTTGGAACAAATACAAAAGTCTCGTCTTTCATCGTCGTCCGTCAACAGGAACAACACGAACCACCTGAATGGTTTTTAAAAATATAGTGGCAACCTGAACACAGCCAGCCATCTTCCCACGAACACAAACTACAAGGGGGGGGGGGGGGAAGAACAGTTTTAAAAAAAAAAGTGATGGTTTTTTCTCTTAAAATGCACACAATTACACATACACACAGGAGGAAAAAGAAGCTTAAAAATACAAAAATAAACTACACAAGAGAGTTTTTTTTTCTGCGTCATTGCTAATTTTTTGGGAAAAGGTTTTGGGAAAAGTTTTTTTTTTGCCTTTTTTTTTCTGTTTTTGTTTTTTTGGAAGTTTTTCTTGAAACGTGTGTGTGCTGCCAGTCTCTGTCCTAGCAAAGTCCATCATTCTTTCTCTACAAATCTATTCCTTTGCCGTTCTCTCTCTCTCTCTCCTTTTTTCTTTTTCTTTTCCTTCGTCCGTTCCGACGTGCCGGTCACCACTCCTCGTATCTCGGGGGGCAATGGGTGGGGAGGGGATAAAAAGCGCACAGTGATAATATTTACCAGGAGACTGGAGTCCAGTACAATGACTGTACAGACTTGGTTCTCTATGAAGCAAATTGTTTTGGAGCCAAAAAAAGAAAAAAAAAACCAAAACCAAAAAGATGTCCTCGTTTGTGGAGGACAAGTGCTTTATTTGTTTCCATACCGATTTTTTTCCTTTCGTCTAAACTAAATGCCTCCACAGACATTTTTTTTTTCCAAACACTGTACAACATTTTATGTAGTCTCTTTCTACACCTCGCCCCCAGAATTCACAAATCACAGAAGAAAAAAAACATTAGGTAACATAGCACTCAGCCTGGCTCCCAGTTTGTGAAAAGGTGTAAATGTTTCTATAATGTTCAACTATTTGGGAAAAAAAAAGAAGAGAGAAGCAAAAATAGATGTTAAAACGAAGGAAGGGGATGTGGCTGAAAAAAGAGAATGTGCTTCTAGGTTTGAGTTGCTCTAAAAATATTACGACCAACTGAACAAGGAGGAAGAGGAGCAAGGGGGCGGATGTTTATCTACAGAGACGCGTCTCAGATTGACTTTCATCTGCCACCATTTTGATCTGAGACGGGGGGGTGGGGGTGGAAGAGATGAGGAGGAGGAGGATGAGTGAAGAAGGTCAGTCTTCCTGATAAAAAGGAGAGTGGGGAAAAAAACAAAAGACAAAAAGACTGGGAGGGGACTCTGGGCAACCTCACTGGTCCGTCCTTGCTTTCTTTGGACCAGTAGTCTTGCTGTGGAGGGACACACAACCAGAATGAGTCGCACAAATCGCTGATCGCGTTCAACCTGAAGTGGGTAGCAGAAGATACTTACGTATCAGGAGAGGTGCCGGGTCTTTTGGGGGCAGGTTTTGCAGATGTGGCGTCTTTACCAGATTCTGTGGATTACAACAATTATTGGTTAGAAACCATCCACTAGTTTGGCTCCTTTAGTGACGCTAAACTGGAGCGACTGTGTGCACCTGACATTCATAAACTAAATGTAGATAGAAAATTTGTAATGAATTTTCACTGGCAGTGGTTGTTTTCAGTACACAGACGCTGATTAGTCTTTTAGGCTCTTCAATATTAGGGCACATCATATTAGCATAGCACGCACAAGAGATTGCTGCCCAAAAATATGCCTGAAATGGACAGGAGAGGACCTAAAAACTGAACTTGTCTAGTCAAGTTAAACAAACAAATAGAAAGCAATAATACTAAAAAGGCTGTTGGTTTGTACACCAATAAAATTATTTGGCCTGTTTATCAGCAACCTGGCACTGATAAGCAGGTGCTACGTCAGCTCTGACTCTGCGCCACACCTGAGGAAAAACCCTTCACAGGAGCTGGAGGCGGCGTTATCGACAACAACCAGCACTTCAACTTACCCCGAGTGCTGTGTTTAGGAGTTAGTTTTGTTTCAGACCAAAGGAAAAAAACTAAAACACAACTTGAACTATAACCTAAAGTTATAGTTATACTCACCAGCTTTGATTTTATATAAAACTTGTATGCCCAAATCAGGCGAGTTGGATTAAAATTTGGAGATTTTTATGAACATGAACAATATTCAAGTGTTTACAAATCATGAAGCTGTGGTAGATTTCTTTGGGGAAAACCATAGCGTCACTGACTAGAGGACGCATTAAATCTACTGTGCATTAGTTCCTTCCTGCTGATGTACAGGACGACCTTTTCATTTACACTAGAAAATGATTTCACTTTAGTGTATATGGCACCAAAACAAGCCAGGAGCCCACATCGTCGTAGCTCCGGCCCTGATAACTGGTACTGAAAACAGAACTGTACTGGTCGGGGTTATGAAGCGTTCACAAACAGCATTTTGTTTGTTAATAAACGTTGATAAATTAGGCTGGATAGCTTAGCATGCAAAGTTTGCAGGGAAGCTAATAATATTAATTTGTTTTGTGTAGTTAAATTGTTCTGATACAAAAACCACAAAATACAACAGAAGGTCAAACTTTAATCAGACGATAATTTTGTGACAACGCGACCGTCTTCCCAGTTAGATGGAAAAAGCCCAATACGTTGATAATTCTCCGTTCTTACCCTGTAGCCATCGAACTTGAGTGGCGGGACCATAGCCCTTCTCGTTGCGGGCGGCGATGCGGAAGATGATGGCTGGTTTAGTCGTGTAGTCGATGTGAGCGTTTGAGAGGCTGGACGACTGCACCAAGCACGAGGGGTTGGGTCCGCAGTACACTCGCATGAAGGCTAGCTGGGCCGGAGTGGAGGCCTTGGCCTCGGCCGTCTGGCTGCTCTGGATGGCCAGGTACACCGAGTACTCTATGATTTTCCCTGACGTGACCGAAGGCGGCTCCCAGGTCAGGTGGGCGCCATCTGGGCTCTGAGGGGGACAGTGATTATATAAGGCCTGGTATTTTGCGGCCTCAGCAGGAGGTCGCGTTCAGCTTCAGAGGTTGCAACGAAATGCTTACCTTGCTAATTTTGATGGCACACGGGGCTCCTGGGAACCCGGGTAGGCAGGTCTTGAAAGCAGAAATCTCAGAGAACGTTCCACGCCCGCAGGCGTTGATCCCCGCCACGCGGAACTTGTACGCCGTGCCGGGCTGCAGCTCCATCTTCTTCATCTGACTGTAGTCCGGTACGGCGCCAGAGTCGTCCTGCCCAGAGGAGCAACGCAAAGTTAGAGGAAAAGCCTTGGGGAACGGTGCATCATTCCTGTCACACTTACATCTCCTTGAGAATCGTCTCCTGGCACATAGAAGTGAGTGACGACCATATTTGTCACTTTTACAATCCCCACATCAAACCACTGGTTCTCCTTTTTAACAACAGGCTTCACTGGAGCGGGCTGAGGGGCTTGTTTCTGGACAAATCAAAAAATCAAAACAAAATCAGTTAGAACTGTTTTTCTCGCTCCCTCAAAGCTGATCTGACAGGTGTCGCTGAAGCCTCACCTCTCCCTCGATGCCATTGGCCACCTCTGCCAGAGTGGCTGCCGCCTGCAGTTTGGCCGGACTTGCTACTGATATAGACGCTGCAAACGTACTTGATGGAGCCAGAGCTGGGTTGTGGAAAGAGCAACAAAAATTAGACAAATACCGCAACGGCTCAAATTTAAGATTTTTTAAAGGCCATTATGAATGAAATTTAAGATCTGTATCAAAAGAAAATTACATATT